TCTGAATGTTACTGTTGAAATCTACTAATCTGAAATCGTCCTCATTGTCCGGGATCCTTCTTTCCGTGCAGTTCGTGTCATTGCTGTTTTTTATGCGTGTCTCACTTATCGACCCCGTCTAGCCTTTGTATTTTTCTTTCCCTCTTCCCCTCTTTTACCTCAATGAGACAAGCTGTGCAGAATAATGATTTATGGGAATAAAAAAATGTGTGTAGCGCTTGTTTTGTCCACCGGGATTTTCCCCGCAAGCAATTTCGCTCCGATGGCGGCAGTAACCGTTCTGGCGGTTCGAACGGTAAGTGCCCCAAGACTTGTAGGATCCTGAACAGATCGTAATTCGTTAGTTCATTACATGGTTTGTGCTGCGCTCGTGGTTTAATCGCTAAAGGCAGTTTCATTACAGCCTACAGTGGCGCCAAAAACACAAACCAATCGTGAAAGCTAACACGCTGAGTGGGGTTGGCCTCTAACGTAAGCAGAACCATGTGTATATATATATATATATATATATATATATATATATATATATATATATATATATATATATATATATATATATATATATATATATATATATATATATATATATATATATATATATATATATATATATATATATATATATATATATATATATATATATATATATATATATATATAAAATTGAGATCTAACAGACAATAATGCCAAGGAAAGTATAGGGGAAGATATGAGACCAAATTGTAATGTAAATATCAAGAAAAGTGGGTGAAAAGATGACTTGCCGTGGGCAAGATAGTGGGCAGGATCCTGGCCGTGGGCAGGATCCTGCCCACGGCAAGTTATCTTTTCACCCACTTTTCTTCACATTTACATTAAAATTTGGTCTCATATCTTCCCCTATACTTTCCTTGGCATTATTGTCTGTTAGATCTCATTAATATTGTGTAAAAACACGGAAAAACGAGCCCTTAGGAATACGCTTATTTCCTTTATATATATATGTTGTGCTGGTCCCACCACAGATGTCTACAGCTACGCAAAGCGACCGTGATTATGTAGCAGAGGACGGCCGTTAAGCGGTGAAAGACACGGTAGCTGAACACTCGTTGAAAGAGCCCGATCGTTCCCGATGTTCCTCTCCAACGACCCGTTCCGCTGTCACAGACCTAACAGTTCCTTAGAAGTGTGGCAGCTTGGGCTATTTGGTATGGCATGACGATAGTTATAGCGCGAGAACGAAACGACGACACAGAGACAAGAAGGACACGATGAGTTCCGTCGCGGAGCGCTCAAACCGGCTCCTATATGGCCACTCATTGACGAGGACGAAGAATGAATCGGCCCGTTAACGGGCTGCTGCCAGCTGTATACCGTCGTCGACTTTGCTACTCCGCTAAAGAAAAGATAAAAAAAAAATCAGGAAGATGAAGAGAGAGAGAGAGAGAATTGTGTGACTGATCGTTCCAATAACCATTGGGGAAGGGCCCGCGATGAAATCTTACCGCCATTTGGCGCTCCTACTGCGCTGAAGTGGGCAGCTGTCCTCCAACGAAGGGCTTGGATGTGTTGAGCGCCGCTCCCTGCGCTCTCAGCGTTATGGATGCTGTAATCGATAGCTTCTGGATCCCCCGTAATACGAAGAAACGAGCAGCTTTCCGGATCCCGTGTTGTGCCGCAATACCTGGAGGCCAAAGAATAGAATGCATGTGCTCCCTATTGCTTGATTGGCGATGTGTGCAAATCGTTTGCTTCGAATGAACAGATGCGCACGCTTTTTGGTCATGAGGCTGTAAATGTGCTAATAAATGTTGTAATGTTATGGCCCTGGGACGTTGTGCGCGAGACAGTGGGTTTGATTCACGGTCATGGTGGCCGTGTTTAGATGTTTTCCAATAGTATACAATGAAAAAAAAGTGTTCTTCCATGAATGTCATCGCCAAGTTTCTCGCGTAACCTGCTTCATGTCTCTCAGGTTGGCGGGTATACATGTATACGGTGCGTTTACACTGCACATGGCCACCGCGATTTCCAAGCATAGTGAGGGTAAGCAATAGATAAAAGTAATTTCTTCAATTTTAACCAGTCTAGGGCAGTCGGCCCCCGATTTAATTTCGCTTGGTGTACCCTCAATCGCACACAAAGCTTTATAGAGGACAGTGGGGTACACAAAGATACCAAACAAGAGTGAACAAAAGTAACGTCAAGTTATTGATCGTACAGTTGAATGCTTGTACGAAAAAAGAAAATAAAAACTAGGAGAGGCACCGCACTTGTGCATGGAGGTCACCGTTGACGTAGCCGGTAGGCGGTAAAAGTGATCGTCCCCCATCCCCCAACCTCTGAAACTTTCGCATATATGTACATAACACACACACACACCGCACACACAGTTCAGTATTCACAGGCGGTCGCACAGTGATGTTACCCTCAAGAATGGTAGAAGGGCTTGTGTTGCTTTCTGGGCTGAGATACTTGAAAGCCACGCTCCCAAGATCTTCTCCAGGGCATGTTATATGCAATGTATATCTCCTGCCTCTCTCCCTTTTTCTCCATCATTCCCCTCTAACCCGTGTAGTGTAGCAAACTGGACTTAATCTAGTTAACCTCCCTACCTTTCTGATATTTTTGTTCTTCTCTTTTCACGTATATCTGAATATACGCATACACATACAAACATACGGACGAACACACATAAAGGGGGTTGGAACGCCCCTAATACTCGTTTCCTATGCATTATTTGTCACCATTTATGCATTTTTAAAATACATTTTGCAGTGTATTGCGGTAAAAGCTAGTCGAGGTGAAGCTATTTGTTTCCTTTTGTAACTACAGCTACGTGTCGTCACCCCTCATTGACCGTGACCAGCAGCTGCTTCGCCACACGACTATGTCACCTGAAATTTCTCCGGCGTGAAACTTGGGGTCATTGTCTGGCAGCGGTCTTACAGTACCTCGCGAACTGTAAATGATCCTAGAATCAGGGATGAATTCGGACACACGTTATGTATTGACTGTTAAGAAGAAAGGAACATGAGAGAAAGGAAAGGCAGGGATGTTAACCAGTCTAAAATAACCGGTATGCTACTCTACACTGGAGGAAGGGACTGGGGAGTTTCTTAAAGAATGTTTTCATTATGGTTGCCCCATGGTGACAGTTCAGCGGCTATGTTCAAGGATGGTCAGAGAGAGAGAGAGAGAGAGAGAGAGAGAGAAAGGAAAGGCCGGGAGGTTAACTAGATATTGGCATCTGGTTTGCTATCCAGAGCTGGGGGCGGGGAAGTAGGGGCAAGAAAGGGGGGGGGGTAGATAGAGAGAAAAAAAAAACGCACGCTCACTCGTAAGAAAACGAAAACACACACAGGAAGGACGTCCTATAGCTACAACCGTTCAGTAAGGCCGGTCGATCGCAAAAAGTGTAGTAGCGCTTTCAGGGCCTTCTTCTGTGAAGTTGTATCTTGCCAATATTGTAGAATTCCTTGTTCCGACAGAGGTTGATTATCTAATTTGCTTAGTTCCTTGCGAAGGCATAGTCGTTGTTTACTATACGCTAGGCAGTCACAAAGAATATGTTGGGTCGTTTCTCCTTTGCCACAGTGGCCACAGGCTGCGGTGTCGGCCATCCCAATGCGGAAAGCGTAGGCGTCGGTAAACTCAACGCCCAACCACAGCCTACATAACAGGGTCTGGACTGCTCGGCAAAGCCTCGACGGGACTTGAAGACTTAGCGTAGGGTCAAGCGAGTACAGTCGGGCATGCTTGAAGGGTGGCTGTATCCATTGTGATGTGGTTTGCTGGCGAGCAAGCCTGCGGAGCTTTCGTGCAGCATCTGTCCTAGAAAGTGGTAGTCGCAGTTTATGATCTTCTGTGTGGGCTGAGCGGGCAGCTTGATCGGCCCGTTCATTGCCGATGATTCCGCAGTGACTGGGCAACCACTGAAATGTAATTTGGTGCCCTTTCTCAGTCAGGTGGTGTATAACCAGCTGCTCGTGTGGTCCACGGCGTAAGGCTGATAGTAGAAACTGCAGTGCCGCCTTCGAGTCGCAGAAAATAGTCCCCTTGCGTGTAGGTTGATCAACTACAAATTACAACGCGGCACGAAGTGCTGCCAATTCTGCTGCCGTTGATGTTGTTGCGTGAGATGTCTTGAATTTAATTGTCGTGGCCAACCTTGGTATCACTACTGCTCCTGTAGAGCTGTCCGGCTGAACCGATCCCTCAGTGTATATATGTGTGGAGTCTTGGTATTTCTCATACAAGAGAAGTAGTGTGAGCCGGTGACGACAAATTGGCCTTTTTCTGGACGCCAGGTATGTTAATATTAATCATTGGTTGAGCGAGGCACCATGGTGGAGTCACAGATCTAGCGGCAGGAGAGAACGAAGTTGGGATCGACTCACCATGTGCGGTCACTGTTTTGCAGTAAGATGTGCATGGTCGGACCACTGGTAGAGAGGCTAGGTGATGTCGAGGAGTTCGAGCAAGGTGTCGTATATGTGTCCTCAGCACTTCCACATTAATGTGGGTCTTGATGAGGTTGCCCCTTGTGATGGCGATAGTTGCCGCTGTTGACGCACTTTGGGGCAAGCCTAAACATATCCAGAGTGCTTGAGCCTGGACAGTTTGAAGCACTCGTATGCTTGTTTTACTTTCGTTGGTTAACACAGGTAGGCTGTACCAAAGGAATCCAAGGAAAAGAATCCTGTGTAGTCGCAACATAGCAGTTGTGGACATTCCCCAGTTCTTTCCAGCGAAGAGCTTGAACAAATGACAGATGCCTGTCAATCGCCCTTTCATGTATGATACATGTGAGCTCCATGAGAGGTCTCTGTCAATTATAACACCTAGGAACTTGTATGATCGGAGGTGACGTATCCTTTCACTGTTTATCAGAACGCTATAGTTCTGCATTGGTTCTCAGGCCGCTATCCTTAGCAATTTTATGGCAGCGCAGCCTGGGGAGATCACTCCTTCACGTGTAATACCGAGTTACGCTGACGCGAGGGGTGGGGGGCTCATAAATGCGGCTTGTCGGCGGCGGCGCTCGAAAAGCGCGCTTCTCTGCTGGCGTGCCAGTAGCCCAGCGCACGCGCAACGACAGCGTTGACGTCGGAAGCGCCGCTCAGCGCCGTTTCTCGGCGTCCCGCCGCGGCGGCGCTCTGCTGCCTATAACCGCCGCGGCACAGTGCTGCTCTCGCCACAGGTCTTGTGCCGCGCACCGCGCTACTTCGGGTGGGCCGCCGCTCGGGCTGTCGAGAGAGAGAGAGAGGCAGGAGGCGGGCTTTTCCTCCCTACCGAAACCACTCACACGTAACACTCTCGACGCACCTGCTGTCACCACACCATCCGCCGAAGCTTCTTTTCTGTGGCACACCATCTTGAACCCCTCGGTGAATCCAACCGCGAGTGGCGAGACGACCAGGCGCTGTCGCATTCCTCCCGTCACCGGCGAAGAAAGTGGTGCAGCCGGCCTTTGGATTCGGCGCCACCGGCGACGCTTGCGAAGAAGATCTCCGGGCAGACGTACTCGCCGTGTCCAAGAGCAGACGACGACGTGCTGCTGCGTCGTCTGCAGCGGACAAGCCGGGGCGCGGTTGCGTAAAAACGGCTTCGCGCCACGGTCCCGTTTGCCGAGGAGGTCCCGTGGTGGCGAGACCACGCCTTTTGACGGCCCTGCCTTGCCAAGGTGGGTCGCCGCTTCTTTTTTGCCTCCTGTTTGTCGCGATCGCACGTTGCCACCTTTAACTTCTCGGCGGTCGTCCGTTGTTGTGACGCCGCGGCGCGTTAATACAACGAAACGCACTTGGCAACACCGACGAAGAAATGATGAGACGTTGCGCGTTTTCCCCCTTATAATCTCCCACCTGGGCTGTAGCAAATCGCCCGAAATTCCGTTTTAACGACACAACGAAAGAAGATCACAAACATAGGCCGATGAGCGAGACGAGGAGCTGGTTACTATCGCGGCGCTCTGCTCTGTGAGAACGTAATGACGGAAGTCTGAAATTGCACCCGTCTTTTACGTAGTATGGGACGCTTTCTAACAATTCATACCCGCCAAGGCAAATGTGCTACATGCTTACCTCGACATATGGATCTGAAGGCGTTCGAAATGAGCGTACTCCAACTCGTCACACGTCGATTATGTAAGACACTTTCGCGCCGATTATTCACTCTACACAGTGAAACGATTTCGTGCTTTATAAAAGGTCGCCGCATAAGCACGGGATCCGGCGGCAATATCGAGTGCGTGCTTCGTCACTTAGTCGAGACGCGTTTATCACCTATCAAAAGAGCGGGATGAGCTAAATCGACCGTAGATAAGGATCTCCAATTATAGCTCCGACGAAAGCGATGTTGAGAGTCGAGGTGAGGAGGAGAACTTGAGATAAGCCGCCACAGCGGTGAGTGGCTTTGCGATTCACCGGGTGCCGGCACGAAGCGTTGAGAGATGGATGGGACGAACGAGCACACTGTGTTTCGCTATGAGGCCATTAAATCGTCTGCTCTCGCTTTCCCGAGCAGACGGCCACTCTTCAGGAAATTGCAAATGGTGTCTTCAGCCGCTCTCTACAAAAGCTGCGTTGAGATCATGCTCAGTGGTTCTATATTATCGCTTCCCTTGGTTTCTTCGCGCCATCAGCGATAGTCATGGCCCGGTATAAGAATAAATGCGAATGTTTTTTACGTCACAAAACTACGCTACGGTTATGAAGGACGCCGTAGTGGAGTGCTCCAGAAATTTCAACCATCTGGTGTTCTTTTACGTGCGCCCTAATCTAAGCTCATATGGTGGTTTCGGGACATTAAACCCCACATATCAATCAATCAATCACTCTAATCTAAGCACACGGGCCCTCAGCAATAATGCCGCCGCTGCGGCCGGGATTCGATCCCGTGGCCTTCGAATAATGCACTCGAGCACAAGTGACCACTAGAACACCATGGCGGTTCGTGGCCTGGTCTTCAACGCAGTGTTTCCTATCCCCTTTTGATGTTCTTTTTATCTTTCCGAAAGTAACTTCAAGCATAACTTGCGTGCGATAAATGACGTTCCATTTTCTTTGTTATCTTGCAAGCTGTTGCTTTTCCACACATTAAAGTTAAGTGTTCAAACATCCGCACACTGCGCGATAAGGTAGTTTATCGGACTCTTCGCGATGCATTCTATCGTTCCCGACAGCACGTAAAAGTCGCATTGAGTTCTACGCGAACATTCCAATGCTTTTCATTGTACGCCAGTGCCATAAATAATTTTGTTGTAGACAAGCGTCCGTTTGTAAAATGTAGTGGCGGAAGTATTTAATCTGCGTTGTTGTGAGTGGTTATAACTAAAAAAAAAATCAAACTAGTCATGGGTAGTATGTTTACACCATTCATGTATATAAACTACGTGTATTCTTACGATGGGTGGTTTATTAACCTACGGATGTTTTAACAAATGAGGTGCTCATAACCGCTCACTCGAACAACCCTTTAAATTAACTGTTTTTTAAATTTTAAGTGTTGAAATATGTGTTCGTGGCTGAAGCACCTTACGTGTGTTTAGAAAAAGTGGTTAACGATTTAGAGTACTATATACTCTACTATGGGAGAGCATGTGGGAAAAAACACATATCCTGCATCACAAGCGCCTTCCCACGGTAGAAATTCAGAATAATTTTCTACATGTGGAGACCACACTACAAACTTGGACTGGAGCTGAATCAAAGGGAAATAATAAACAGTTCGGTTGCCATACATTGATAGATAGTTGCGGCTTAATTACTGCTCGCTTTCTGAGCGCGTCGCATCATGTTACGAAACTTGCATTTGCGGGAATATACGAAGTATCTTTATTCTGGAAGAGTCACATAAATACGACAAACAAGCGATCAACGTATGTTCAGCTACCAATCGCGAAAATATATTAGGAAGCAAAAGGGCCAAAACATATCGTCAGAGGTGGTGGGGGGGGGGGGGGGAGGGGGGTGGATTACGTGCATTATATGACTCATTACTACAAATCAGATGCATCTGCAAACGCCTCTCGAAGAAGAAATACTTCCGACTGTCTTTTTTGATAACAGAGTCGTTTATCAAAGAAATCTGTATATAATTACTCACCGGATGCACGAAACTAAGAATGTGTAGTAAGAAAAAGACGAGGAATGCGAAATCGGGCTTGGCCAATCCCCACAGTGGTCTGAGCTGTAGTAGCAGGCGAACAAGAGCTCGTCTGGTCTGCAACAGTCCACAGTGCATGAAAGGAGATGAAGAACGAGGGCCGCTTCATCCGAAAGTGCAATGCAGCAGTGCTGAAGTGGTATAGAGTGCCCACTCGCAGCGTTGGAGGTACTGCATGGTTCTATACAGCTGCCGCCGCTCATTTACTGATTTTGTTTTAATGGGGAGAGAGTCGGATCTGTGAAGCATGCACAGTTGTCATTTTCAACAACTCCACGGTGGCAGTGCCATGCAGTGGAACTGCCGACAGATAAGAAAGATCCGCCGCTGTGAATCGATCTGTTCACTTTGCATTTAAAGCAGTAATTTGGCGAAGAAATGAAAAAAGGTGAATAGGGGGAGGGGGGCTAAAGACTTTCCGATAGCATCTACTTAATACGCGTCAAAAAACCTCGCTAATAATGGTCAAAAGAACCGCGCTTTTGTTTTTCTTGTTTTTTTTTTCACTGTGAATTAACATTTGGTTTCGACTGCTAATTAGACTAGCTCCAAATAAAATACTGAAGGGCACTTCATGGGACTGAACTCTTTGTTATAGCCATCTAGGCTCCACCGCCTTTTTTACGCATGCGCTGGTGCTTGAGACGTTGAGCCTCTTAGCGAACAATACGTTATACTGATATGTAATGACCGAATCATATTTGAAATGTCGTCCAGGATGGTGCGAATAGCGCAGAAATTAACGCTGCTAATTATGACGCGCGGTGCTTTCTATACAGCAAATCACAAGCGAAGATCTGAGTGCCGTCGAAACTGACGAGAAATCTCACTCCTTGCGATTTACAGACGTTCTAATAAGTCGCTTCTGTCGATATGACGCCCGTAAAAGTGTGTGTCGATTTTTGCCCTGTACTGTATATGTTCGTATTTGATTTGATTTGTTGGGTTTAACGTCCCAAAACCACTATTTGATTATGAGAGACGCCGTAGTGGAGGGCTCCGGAAATTTCGACCACCTGCGGTTCTTTAACGTGCACCCGAATCTGAGTACACGGGCCTACAACATGTTCGTATTTCTACAGTAGAAACACACTGAATGTAATTAGCCCTCAAGTGTGTAATTACTTGAACAGGCGCGTTGAATCGTAAACTAAGTAAGAACAAAGTGAGCGACAGCCACCAACAATGAAATTGTGTCATAATGAAGGATGTGTTCTAAAGCTATCATAAAAGCCATGGAGCTGCCACAAAATACTGTTTTTCTAATACACTGCGGTCACATACGTAAAAGAATAAAAAAAATGTTTTTTCGTTTATTCAAACTTTAAACGCCTGCGGCTCACAACGGTGCCTCAGTAACACGACGGGCTCAAAAGTTCGCTTTACACCCCTCTCCCCCCCAAAAAGGCTCTCCGGGCTTGAACAACTGCCGCTGACCAAGCATCGGGTTATAACCACGAGTTTTTTGCAAATTCAAGTCACGCGCGTCTTAGCAGGGGTGCTATGTAACGTTCCTATAGTTTGGGGCTTTCGAGTGATCGTGCTAGCTCCTCTCCTGCAATTACGCAAGTTCGCTTTGCCTCAACGCACGACCTTTGCTTCGCTCTCAATGCCGTGTTTGCACCAGTGTACGAGCGGCACTTTTTCAAAATTGCCTTGATCTCGCGGCGCAGAGCGCGCTGCCGATTTTATAAACGAATAATCTCTCGCACGGCCGATACCGTTAGGCAGACTCGACGGCGTGCATCCCGCCGCAGCCTTTCGTAAACGCGCATTAGTGGGGCCCGCCCCGCCCTTCGACCAACACAGCCGTGAACGTTAATGAGGACGTAGATGGACGGAGATGAGCGCACGAGGTGCCCGGTTAGCTCGCGCGTCGATGTTGTTGGAATATCGCCTGCTTTGGAGCGTGCAGCGGTGTACCCGCAATACGAAGCAAGCCCCTGGCATGTTTTGTCCCGATTCGATTGCTTGTAGCACGCGCGCGGTGCTTTAAGCAAGCATTGCGTCATAACTGCTGCATTGTTGCTTGAAGGCACTCAACCCCTAGCTACGCAATTTTAAAGTTTTAAGTTTGCTCAAACATTAATAGCAGACTAGATGGCCAAAACCTACACGAAGTTACGAACAGGGCCGTATAACGCTACCTTGAAGCCCTCTTCCTTGATTCAGTCTTACATAGAGAGAGTGAAACAGAGAAAAAGAAAGAAAGATATATATATATATATATATATATATATATATATATATATATATATATATATATATATATATATATATATATATATATATATATATATATATATATATATATATATTATATATATATATATATTGAGAGAGAGAGAGAGAGAGAGAGAGAGCAGCAGTGGCAATACGTATACAGACAGTGGTTTTATTAAAGCTGCGTCAACGTTCCGTAGACCCAATCATGAACAGGTACAGCTGAATATTTGGCTCGTTGTTTGCGCTGGAGGACATGAGATGTACCGAGGCTGAATATTGAAATGCGTAAAAAAC